GTTGGGCAATCCTACTTCCGTAGTGATACTGCCTCAGAAACCCAAGGAGGGGTCGCTATGAGTCGGGTTTGACTCGACGGCACATAACAACAACAACAAGTCTATTATTTGCTTGAGAGGTGGCCTCCAGAGTGGCTTCAGTTCCACATTAGAAGGGTAACTGAGGGAAATAGTCTTGGGGTTACTCCAGTCTCTATCACACCAATAGGTCTGCCTTCTCCATGTTGTGTATTGTCTTTCTTTTCACCAGAATTAACATGTGTCTACTATCTAGTTAGTGATTTCCCTTCTTCTCCCTCCCATCCCTGGTAACCATCAAAGAATGTTTCTTTCTGTGTTTAAAGCTGTTCTTGACTTTTTATAATAGTGATCTCATGCATTATTTGTCCTTTTGTGATTGACTCATTTCACTTAGCATAATGTCCTTCAGATTAATCCATGTTTTAAGATGTTTTGCATATTCATTATTCTTTATCATTGTATAGTATTGCATTGTACTATGTATCAAAATTTGTTTATCCATTCATCTGTTGATGGACACTTAGATTGTGTCCATATTTTGGTATTGTGATTATTGCAGCAATGATCATGGATGTGCATATGTCTTCATGTCACAACTCTTATTTCTCCAGAGTATATACCTAGGAGTGGAGTTGCAATTTCTAGCTTTTTAAGGGAATACCATACCATTTTTCAGAATGGTTTATACCATTTTACAGTCCTACCAATGGTGTATAAGAATTTCAAACCAAAAAACTCCCTGCCATCGAGTCAGTTCAGACTCATAGCAATCCCCAGACAGTTTCTGAGACTGTAACTCTTTACAGAAGTAGATTACCCCGTCTTCCGCTGTAGAACTGATGGTGGGTTTGATCCACTCACCTTCTGGTTAGCAGACAAATGCCTTATCCACTATGCCACAAGAGCTCCTTATAAGAGTTCCGATCTCCCCAAAACCTTAATTGCATTTGTTGTTTTCTGGGTTTTTTTTAATTAGTGCCTTTATTGCTGGGGTGAGCTATTATCTTATTGTAGTTTTGCTTTGCATTTTTTTAATGGCTAGTGGTTGCCAGCATCTCTTCATGTATTTGTTTGTTGTATGTCTTTTTGCTGAAGTGTCTGTGTCTTTTGCCTATTTTTGTAATTGAATTATTTGTCTTTTTGTTGTTGCGGTGTTGGAATTTTTAATGAATCTCAGAGATTAGACTCTTGTCTGATATGTCGCTGCCAAAATTTTTCCCCTGGTCTGTAGGTTCTCTACTCTTTTGATGAAGTCTTTTGATGAGCTTAAGTATTTAAGTTTTAGTAGGTCCTTGTTATCTAGCTTATCTTCTGCTATTTGTAAATTTTTAGTTATGTTAGATATTATATTTATGCCACAGATTAGTGCCCCTAACTTTGTCCTTAGTTTTCCTTCCATGAACTTTATACTTTTAGGTTTAAGATACAGATCTTTGATCCATTTTGAGTTAGTTGTTGTGTATGGTGTAATGCATATGTCCTATTTTGCTTTTCTGCAAATGTATATGCAGTTTTGCCAGCACCATTTTTTAAAGAGACTATTTCTTCCCCTTTTAATGGATTTCAGCCCTTCCTCGAATATCAACTGTCAATAGGTGGTGGATAGGTTTACTTCTGGATTCTCAACTATGTTCCATTGGTCTACATGTCTTTCATTGTCCAGTACTTGTTTGACTTCCATAGCAGTATAGTAGGTTCTGAGGTCAGAATGCATGAGGCCTCTTACTTTATTATATTTCTTCAATAATGCTTTAGGTATCCAGGGCCTCTTTCCTTCCATATAACGTTGGAGATTTGCTTTTTGTTAACGAATATTGCTGGGATTTGGATCAAGAATGCATTATATCTACAGATTGCTTTGGGTAGTATTGACATTTTCACAATGTTAAGTCTTCCTATCCATGAGCATGGCATGTTTTTCCATTTATGTAGATCTCTTGGTTTCTTGCAGTATGTTTTATAGATTTCTCTGTATAAGTCTTTTATATCCCTAGTTAGATTTACTCCTAGGTATTTTATCCTTTTGGGTACTATTATAAATGATATTATCTTGCTGTGGTGTTTGTTTATTTTCTATTTAACACATACTCCTTTGGGTACAGCATTATTCATGGAGTTAGTGCAGACCCTCATAGGTGTCCAGGGCCCACTATATGACTGAGAACGTGTGTAGCCTGTCATCTGCCAGACTCCCTCCCCCCATTAGCTGCTGGACCAATGCGCTGTGTCCCAGGTGTTGGTGGAGAAGACAAGCATCTCCCTTTCCCATGGGCCTATTGCCCCAACTCACACCAGGCAGGCAACTTTAAGGGTTTGTAACTTCTGTGCTGGGACAAGCTCAATACCTGGATTGAGAGTGGATAGTAAAGGATAGGGTTCAAACTTAGGCTTCTTAAAGCCATATTCTGATTTCATTCCCCATACTACATGGTGAAAAGTTGACCCTGCCTGTTTTTCTTCAGATTCTTGTGCCTAGCCTGGGGCTTTGTCCATGGATCTTGCTCTATCTCAAGATTTCTCAACTTTTTGACATTACTGGCATTTTGGACTAGATAATTCTTTGTTATGGGAGGCTGTCTTGTACATTGTAGGATGTTTAGCAGAACCCTGGCTTCTATCCATTAGATATGAATAGCATTCCACCAGTAGTGACCATCAGAAATATCTCTAGATATTGCCAGATGTCACTTGGAAGCAAATTTGTCCTGTGTTTTAGAAAACCACAACTCTTACTTGAATTTAGCAGTCAGATCTTCTGACAACTATTTTTTTTATCTTTGTCCTCAGCTTTCCGCTTGGCCCTCATCCAGCTTCAAGTTTCTTCCATCAAATCGGATAACCTCACTCGAGCTTGTGGCCTTGTCCGGGAGGCAGCAACGCAGGGAGCCAAAATCGTTTCTCTTCCAGTAAGTATAGAGGAAGCCTTCTACACAGTTCCTTTCTGGGAACTGTAGACCCAACAGAATAGTGTCAGCTATCCACAGTTGTGTTTTTGTGTCCCAAGGTCCAACAAAGCCCCTTGGGGCCCCTGTTTTTTCCACATTTGTCTGGATGATGACCCTAGCGAAGATCTTTGTGACAGGACAGGGGTAGTCTGGCAGTAGTTCTTTAACTTTAGGATCATCTACTCTGTTCAGATGAGGAAACCAAAATCCTCATCAGTTGAGGGACTTACTTAAAGCTAAAATATTCAGTACCTTGGATACTCATCTTTGTTCTTTATGTAATTAAGTCTTTATAGGACCAGCATATATTTGTTTTAACAGTAAGCTTCCAATATTAAAAAAGATGGAAAACGATTAGAAACATTTAGGGAGCCTGTGGCATCTTAAAGCCAATAGGACTCTGTCTCTCCTTCCCAAATAATTTCTTTTAGAACAGAACCATCTGAAAGTTGAACTCATTTGTTTGTCAGCAGGTCCAAGGTTAGTACTGGAGAGGGGTTACTGCAGATGTCAGCCCTTGCATCTGCTGGCATCTTCTCCAAAGGCCTGCTGACAATCATTGGGTGGAACTATTCCAGGTGGCCCCCAACACCTTGCTTTCCCACTATGGGGAGGAGGCAGCTCTTTGCAAACCCTGTCTATAATATTGACTGGAGAACTTTTAGGAATCTTTTAACAAGGGAGTTAGATGTCTTAATGTTAAACCAATCTTCCTTATGGCTCTAGTCACGGGACTTGCCTGTATTGTGCCCTGATCATGGTCTCTTGTTTGTTCATGTTGCCAAGGTCAGAATGAAAATCCCAGGAGTCAAAGCGCTTGAATTCTGCACTTGCCCACCTCAGTGACTATCCAGCATGAGTCTATTACAAGCAGCAATCCCAGGCTTGAGTTTCCTGGCATAGTGCCTGGTACACAAGAGATCTCAATAAGTAAATGAGAGTCTTAAATCTACTGATTTTTGTCTTCTGCTTTCCAAAATATCCCAGAGCTGTTGACAATAGTCATACTCTGGATGGAATGAGAGACTTCATAGGATCAGAATGATAACGCTGGAAGGGAACTTAGAAACAGTGCATTTTACAGATGAGGAAGCATCTTAACTTCTGCACGTTTCAAAAGTTATGTGTCTTTTCAAAAACAGACTTACTGCTTTACATAGTTAATAATTATGATTTTGAGCCTATTAATTCATCCTGATACCCAAAGTCATATGAGTAAGCCCAGTTATAGTAGGGCTTGTGTGTTAGTTTGTTAGTACTGTTGTAACAGAAACACCACAGATGGGTGGCTTTAACAAAAATTTATTTTCTCACTGTTCAGGAAACTTCTAGTCTGAATTCAGGGGGCTAGCTCTAGGGGAAGGCTTTTTGTTTTAACTCTGAAGGAAAATCCTTGTCTCAGCTTCTCTGGCCTCTTCTTGGTATTCCTTGGAGATCTGCCTGTCTTTCCCCTGTTTGTCCTTACTTGCTTCTGTTCCTAATTTACTCTCTATGTATCAAAAATGGTTTAAGATACACTATACACTGCAGCATAGTGCCTAAGGCATTTGACTGTTATCCAGAAGGCTGGGAGTTCAAACCCACCATCTACTCCTCGAAAGGAAGATTGGGCAGTCTACTTCCATAGGGATACTACCTTGTAAACCCAAGAAGTGTTCGCTATGAGTTGAATCAACTTGATGCAGTGAATTTTGTTTTTTTAATATACTGATATGACCTCATTAACAGAACAGAGAATTTCCAAATGAGATTACATTCACAGGTAGAAGGGTTAGGATTTATAGCACATGTAATGGAGATGCAGGTAGGAGGTACTCAATTCAATCTATAACATAATATCCTAGATACCCAAGGTTAGAAACTTGTTCTGGAAAAAACAGGTCTGGCCTCTACCAAGCTGACCATGATCATGATCAGGTAGAGAGAACATGTGACTTATCTCCCCTGGCTCCACCTGAGCCAGTTGTTGAGGCTGCCTGTGGCCACAAGTGCTTTATCCCTGAGGTATCAGTGTTATTAGCTGTGCTTCACTCCTCCAAGTGAGAGCACAACTAAAAGCAGCAACTGTCTTCTTACAGCAGAATATTGAGTATTTTGGTGGTTTCTCCCCTCTTGTTCTCTGCCAACATTATTCTAGGAATGTTTTAATTCTCCATATGGCACAAAATATTTTCCTGAATATGCAGAAAAAATTCCTGGTGAATCCACACAGAAGCTTTCTGAAGTAGCAAAGGAATGCAGCATATATCTCATTGGAGGTAACTTCCCACCCCCAAGGTATAATGGCCTAAACATTAAAAACACCAGAATGATTTTTCTTGTTACATTTAAACTGGGGTATACAGTTTAGGCACTGAAAAGAATGAGGTAGATCTATATGTAGTAATGTGGAAAGATTTGGAAGACTCATTGTTAAGTGAAAAAAATCAAATTCAACATAGTATGAGCAAGTTAGTCCCGTTCAGATTAATCCCACATACAAAAGAAAGCTCTG